TGGGCCAACATCTGTGCCAATCTCCCTCCACTTTATATGTGGGTTGCTGCCACAGCATGGCTGACGAGTGGTGTAGGTGCACACCCGGGATCCAAACCCACAAACCTGGGCCACTGAAGCAGAGTGTCTGAACTTAACCACTACACCATGGGGCTGGCCCCAGAGATAGATAGACTTCTGATCCATTGTTGAGCTACGAGGTTCAGCAAAGGCAGTCAACTATCTTTTAATGAAATTTAGTAGATGAGAAAAATGTCTTTTATATTTAGCTACCTACTTGCCATTTCCACAGCTCTTTATTTCTTTATGTCAATGCAAATTTTCATCCAGAATCATTTTCTTCATCTTAAAAAACTTTCATTAATATTTTTTTGTAGTGCAGGTCTGTGGGTGATAAATACTCTAAGCTTTGTTTATCTGAAAACGTCTTAATTTTGCTTCGTTTTTGAGGGACGTTTTCTCTGGGTCTCTCGCTCCAGATTGGCAGGGTTTATTCCTTCTTTGGGCACATTAATGACATCATTGCTTTGTCTTCTGGCTTGAAATTCTTCTGACAAGACCTCTGCAGTCCTGCTTATTTCTGTTCCTCTGTATGTAAGTTTCTTTGGTGACTTTTAGTATTTCTTTCTTTATCACTGTTTTTCAGCAATTTAGTTACCATGTGCTTGTTATGGCTTCTTTGTGTTTTCCCTACTTACGCTTCATTTAAATTCCTGGATCTATGAGTGTATTATTTTTCCTTCAAATTTGCAAACATTTCAGCCATTACTTTCTCAAACATACCTTCTAACCACCCCTTTTGTTGATACTGTCCTGCAGGTTGCGAGGTTTTTTCCTCCATGCATTTCGATTTGGATAGTTCCTATTGCTGTGTTTTCAAGTTCTCTTGGATCATCTAAGTCCATCCAATGAGTTTTTCATTTCAAATATTTTATTTTTTGGCTCTAAAAATTCTCACCTCATCATATTCATGTTTTTCTGTAAATCCATGAGCATATTTATAATATCTGTTTTTAAGGTGACTGCCAGTTCCATCCTCTCTCCTACTTATGCATCTAGTTCCATCAACTGATTTTTCTCCTGGATATGGGTCATATTTTCCTTCCTTCTCACAAGGCTTGTAACATTTTTTTAAACTGAAGTGAAATTCACATAACATAAAATTAACCGTCTCAGTGGCACTTGTTCACAATGTTATGGAACCGTCACCTCTATCTACTTATAAAACATTTTCATCACCCCAAAAGGAAAACCTACACTCATTACGCGGTCCCTACGCATCCCCTCTCCCCTCAACCTCTGTAAACCACCAATCTGCTTTCTGTCTCTAGGGACCCACGTATTCTGAATATTTCATATAAGTGGACTCAGAACACGCGACCTTTTGTATCTGACCTCTTTCACTTAGCACAGTGTTTCCCAGGCTTGTCTGCATTGCAGCATGCACCAGTCCTTCATTCCTTTTCATAGCTGAATTATATTCCACTGTATGATGGACCACATTTTTTTTTATCCGTCAGTTGATGGACAGTTGGGTCGTTTCCACCAATTGGCTTTTGTGAATAATGCTGCTATGGACACTCGTGTACAAGTATTTGTTTGAATATCTGTTTTCAATTCTTTTGGGTATATATCCAGAAGTCAAATTGCTGGAGATGGTAATTCTGTGTTTCACTTTTTGAAGAACGGCCAAACTGTCTTCCACGGCAGCTGCACCACTTCGCATTCCCACCATCAGGGCGCAAGAGTTCCGATGTGTCTCTATCCTTGCCAAGACTTGTTGTTGATTATTACTACAGTCATTCTAGTGAGTGTGAAGTGGTATCTCATGAGTCTTTGATTGCGTCTCCCTGATGGCTAATGATGCTGAGCACCTTTCCATGTGCTGTTGACCATCTGTATACCTTCTTGGGAGAAATGTCTGTCCAAGCCCTTTGCCCACGTTTTTAATTGGGTAAGTCTAGTAATGTTTGTTGGATGCTGGCTGCTGTGAACTGTACGTTCCTGAGTGTCGTGTTGTGTTGCTTCCCTCTGAGGAGTGCTGATGGGTTTGGCGGGCAGCTAGGTATGTTTGCCCCTCCTGTTCCTGTCAAGGCTTGTTCTCTGCACTCCTGGTGGGTGGGAGTAGCCTTTGTCTAGGGCTAGTTTAGTCATTTCACAGGGGTGTGACCTGTCCAGGGTCTCTCCTGAAGGTCCCAGTGTCCACCCTAGCTACTTGGCACTTGAAGCTCTCCCCTGTCCACGTAAAATCTGAGACTCGTTCTGCTCATGCCCCCAAGTTCTTTGCGTGGACTCGTGTAAAGTGCTCCTGCCTGCCGTGGTGCTCGGCAGCGGGGTCGAGGGGCCCTGTTGCTTTCTGTTTTCCCGAGATCACAGCCCTGCACTGCTTGTTGTCCAGGGTTTGTAGACAATTGTTTCACATACCTTGTCCAGTTTTCCGGCTGTTCACAGAAGGAAGGCGTGTCCAGCACCAGCTGCTCCATCATGAGCGGAAGTTGAAGTCACTCATTCCTTCACTGTTTCTTTTTCCCTTGTGTATTCTGCACCCCTCTCACTTTATATGGAGATACAGCTGAAGTACGGAAGACCACACATATTTAAAGTGTGCGATTTAAACACTTTTGACGTAAGTATACACCCTGAAGCCATCACCACAACTAAATGTGTCTATCACCTCCAAAAGTTTTCTTGTACCACTCACAACCCATTTCTCTCTTCAGTCCCCCTCAAGGCCATCACTCACTGACCTGTAGCTGGCATTTTCTAGAATTTTGTATAAATGGAATCATACACACACTCTTTTGAGGAGAAGTCTGGCTTCTTTAGCAGCATAAGGATTTTGAGCTTCATCCATGTGGTGTGTATCGATAGTTTCTTTCCCTTTTTTGCTTTTCCTTTTTAGCATTCCACTGCGCGGTCACACCGCATTTTATTTATCTGTTCCTCTGTTTCAAATGTTGGAAACAACAGCCGGGTCGTTTCCAGTTTGAGGCTGTTACAGATAAAGCTGCCGTGAACATTTGTGTGCACGTCTGTGTGGACACGTGTGTTCACTTCTCTGGGGCAACCACCTAGGTGGGAAATGCCTGGGTCATGATAAACGTACATTCGGCATCTTTTAAAAGTGCTAAATTGTTTTCCAAGGTGGTTGTAGCATTTCACCTCCCCATCAACAGCAGAGGAACATTCCAGTCCGTTCCGACGCTCGCTGACACTCGGTGTGGCCAGTCTTCCTGACGTTAGCCATTCTATAGGGGTGCCGGGGTATCTCGTGCTCTCGTTTGCACTCTCCTTCCATTTCAGATGCTGACTTCACTTGGCCGCTAGACCCCACACATTGCCCTGGCCTTTGTCCCACCGCACCAATCTCTCCTCAGCCCTCAGCCCCATCCCACAGACTGCTTCTCGCAGGTCTACAGCGAAGTAACTCAGAAATGGAGAAGAGTTAAGGAACTCTGACAGCTACAGGACAGAGTAATTTTATGACTACGATTCTAATGCAAATTTGGGGCTTTATTTTATATGTCGATGGTTTTAACATTTTTTCTAGCAACTCATTTTTATTGTATTTTACAAAGTTATTGGTCTGCAATAGCTTGAAAGATTTTTAAACTGCTGGTCCTTGGACAGCCTGGGAGCTCACTCTGAACGCTGGAGGCCCAGGCCTGTGCCTTGCCCTCTCTAGGTCCAGTACTCACTCTCTGGTGATCTTGCCCAGCTGCTGCTTTAAATGACACCCCACACCAACACCCCCAGGGTATGTCACCTCGTCATTGCACTCCAAAGTCATGTCTTTCTAGGATTTCCACTTGGATGTACTATCAGCATCTTAAACTTAAAAATGTCCCAATTCCCAATCTCTCTAAACCTGCTATATCCACTGCCTCCCCATCTCAGCCCTGGTCTTCCACACAGCCTGCACCGTGAACCTGTGGGTCATCTGACTTTCTTCTTTCTTTCACACCACAGTCCACCCACAGCAAATCTAAGGGCTGTACTGCAGCCAGAACCCACCCTTTCACACCTCCACCGTTTCCTCCTTTCTCCTGCTTCCTCCATTCACGACAAGGACCCTCCTGCTCTGCCCTCTCCCAGCGCTCCAGCCGCCGGGGGGCCTCCTTGTGGTTCCAGCGTGCCAGGCGCACTCCCACTCGGAGGCTTTGCCTAGCTGCCCCCTCGATGCTCTCCCCCAGAGTCCACGGGCTGGCTGGTGCTCCCACTTCCTTTCCTGGCCGCCCCACCCGCCGGCCTCCTGACCTCGCTTTCTTTTTCTCGGAGGCTCTGATCGCCGCCTGGCGCGTGACCTTGGCGCACAGCAGGCCCCTCTCAGCCGCTCCTGCAAACTCACCTCCTCCAGCTTTGCTCTTCCGGCCACTCGCCGGGAAGCCCCCGCCTTGGCACTCCCCCCGAGCTCCCCGCGGCGCCTCACCTGCTGGCGAGGGCGCGGCCCCTGCCGTCAAACAGCCCCGGAGTGGAGGGGCTGTCTGCGAGGGACCCCCTAACCATCAGCACCACCTTGGCAGAGCCCAGAAGAAGTAAGGCAGAGGATGAAAAGAGCACCCCAGGCCGTGGGCACCGCGCGCGCAAAGGCCCGGAGCTGGCAGAGAGGGTTCAGAAGGCTCCTTGGGGCGGAGGGGGCACCTGCTCGGGGGACCTGGCCGGTGCAACCAGGACGCGCAGACGGGAGCGCGGCGAGGGTTTGCGGTGGCGCCGAGGGGGCGGGCCTGCGCGGGGTTGGGGGGGGCTCCAGGCGGCCCCGGATTGGCCGGCGCTTGGGCTGCAGACCCCGCCCCACCCCGGCCGGCGCAGGCGCGGGGAGGTGCCGCCGGTTCCCACGGCAACCGGGGTCAACAGGTCCAGCCCCGCGGGGTCCCGGGCCCCCGCGCGCCCAGGGCCGGCATGAGCGCCTCCGAGGTGGACCGCCACGTAGCCCAGCGGTACCTGCTCCAGCGGCGGCTCGGGAAGGGGGTGAGCGCGCGAGGCCCGGCGTCTGTCCCTCCCGCCCTACCGGGACCCCGGGCTCGCGCCCGCCTCCCCACGGACTGTGGGCGTGGCCCTGGGCAGGCCACCGCGGCCCTGGGCAGGCCACCGCGGCCCTCGGCGCCTCGGCCTCCTGTAACAGGGCCCTAACCGTGCCTGCTGCCAAGGGACTTGTCACCGGCCTCCCAGAGCCGGGTGACAGCCAGGGCCCCCAACCGTCTCAGGCGGGCGCCCACAGCACGCTCTGGGGAGGCCAGGCCCACCCACTCCAGGCGCCCAGGGGGAGGGACAGATCCCAGGCCGGGCCGGAACGGCCTGAGCGGTAAATGGGGTGAGCATGTAGTGGGGGCCAGAACCGTGTGTGCATCCATGTGCATTGTGTGTATGAGCATGTGGGATTGTGTATGAGCATGTGTATGTGAAGGTGTGTGACAATCTGGGTGTGAGTGTGTAGCGGGGGAGGGGAGAAAGAGTGGGCCAGACAGTGCAAACAGCAAGTGCAAAGGCCCTGAGGCAAGGACCTGCTTGGCTATTGGGGAGATGGCAGAGTTGGTGTGGCTGGATAGGAATGACTAAAGGGAGGGGTCCCATCATGTGGGGCTTTGGATTCTACTGTGAAAGACACAGGGAGCCGAAACAGCTGTTGGTACCACTATACAGGGCTCACCCTGCCCACTCTGTCGAGGATGGACAGTGGGGGTGGGCAAAGGAGATTAGTTAAGAGGTTACTGTAGCCATCCAGGCAAGAGATGCGGGGGCTCAGCTCAGAGTGGGGTAGCAGAGACGGTAGGAAGTGGTCCATTCTGATGAATTCTGGAGGTGGAACCAACAGAATCTGGGGACAGGCTGGATGGGGTATGTGAGAGAGAGGGGTGTTAGGATGCCCAGAAGGGTGAAATGCCATCCCAGAGAAGAGACAGGCTTCGGTTTCTGCCCAGAAGCTCCCATCTGTGACCTCATTTCCTCCTGGGGCCTCTCCAGATCCCACCCTCCTCCCTTGCCTCCATGTCCCCTTGCCTCCCATCACCTCCTCCAGAAGATGCTGGATTCCTGGGCAGCAGGCTGGGCAGCCTTAGCTGCAGGGGCCTCACCCAGAGCCACAGCCCCCACCACATCCCCGTCCGTCCCCTCCCAGGAGCCACAGCGGGAAGGAGGAGCCTTGTGTCTGCAGGGGTAGTCTGGGGGGCAAGCGATGGCGCTGGGCCCAGCAAGCTGACCACCCGCCTCCCCAGGCCTATGGCATCGTGTGGAAGGCGGTGGATCGGAGGACTGGCGAGGTTGTGGCCATCAAGAAAATCTTTGATGCCTTTAGGGATAAGACGGATGCCCAGGTAAGAGGGCGGGGAAGAGGTGTGGGGAAGGACCAGGGCAGGGGTGTGGAGGTGACCCCCTGCCGCCTTGGTACTGGGGAGCCCTAGCGTAAACTTGAAGCCCAGCCACAGCAGGCTTCCGGCATTTCTCAGAGCAGCACCCCTGCGACCCCGTGGTCCGGTGGGTATGTGGGTGACGAGCATCCACTCCTTTGGATCTCTTCCATGTCGGCTTCCTTCTTGCTCCTCACTCACACTCGTGTTTCTGTCTCATTCCAGAGGACGTTTCGGGAAATCATGTTGCTGCAGGTGAGCGGCCAAGGCCACCCGCCCACTTCCCCAGGTACAGTCTCTCCAGACAAGGGGGGCAGCTTGGCCCCTCGACCCCCAGAGCACAGCCCCACATTCTCTCCCCAGGAATTTGGGGACCATCCCAACATAATCCGCCTCCTGGACGTGATCCGGGCGGAGAACGACAGGGACATCTACCTGGTGTTGGAGTCTATGGGTGAGTGAGGCCTCACTCAGACCCCAGCCCCGCCTCTGTCCTGGCCCAGGGTCCCCAGTGGCCTGGCTCCCTCTGTGTGTCCCTCTGTTGCTGGGGTCCCCACAGTGGCCAGTGCCCTCATCTTGGGCAGTGTCCCTGTGCCCAAGGACAAACAGCTGGCAAGTGTCAGCCCCCAGGGCCTGGCAGTGACCACCTTGACCCCACCTCTACAAGGCTCCTGCTTTGTCCACTGCTTGCAGCTGTATTTCCTTTTTCTACTCATTTTGTAAAACAAAGTCAACATGAAATAAAGTATTAAAAATAATTCCACACACTTTTACTGCTGTGCTGACAGAGGCAGTGAGCAGTCCTCAGAAGCCTGCGGGGACTGCCCGGCAGTGCGCCCGCCCAGGACACGGCTCTGAGGGTGGCCAGCGGGGCCCAGGGACTGCGGGCAGTGGGTGGGCTGAGGCTCCCTCCCTGGCATGGGCTCAAAGTGGGACAGACCTGGCTACTCTCGCCAGGCCCCCAGGCTGACCTGCAAGTCCTGTCCTGGCCCCCTAGCCCCCGGGCCCCCCAGACTGACCTGCGTGCCCCCCCAGACACTGACCTGAATGCCGTCATCTGCAAGGGCGGTCTGCTGAAGGACGTGCACAAGCGCTACATCTTCCACCAGCTCCTGCGGGCCACCGAGTTCATCCACTCAGGACACGTCATCCACCGGGACCAGAAGGTGAGCCCACGCTCCGTTCACTGGGCCCTGACCCCTGCACGCACCCACCGAGGCGACCTCCAGCCCCGGCCCCGTCAGCGCTCACCGCCCTCCTCTCCCCCAGCCATCCAACGTTCTCCTGGACTCCAGCTGCTTGGCGAAGCTATGTGACTTCGGCCTCGCCCGTTCCCTCAGCGGCCTCCCTGAAGGGCCGGAGGGCCAGGCCCTGACAGAGTATGTGGCCACACGCTGGTACCGGGCTCCGGAGGTGCTGCTGTCCGCAAGCCGGTAACAGTGACATCCCCTCCTGCCCCCATCTCCCCGGAAGCATGCCCCCTGCCCAGCCAGGGCCCCCAGGCCGTCCTCTTCCCCACATTGTCCTCACAGCCCCTCCCAGCACCCCAGACTCAGCCCCCTTGAGTGTCCCTGCTCCCACCCCCACCTCTGCTCTGGGGTCCCCCCACCCTCTACCCCTTCCTGCCCCAGGTATACCCCTGGGGTGGACATGTGGAGTCTGGGCTGCATCCTGGGGGAGATGCTTCGGGGGAAGCCCCTGTTCCCTGGCACATCTACGCTCCACCAGCTGGAGCTGATCCTGGAGACCATCCCGCCACCATCCAAGGAGGGTGAGCATGTGTGTATGGGTCCACTGGGTACCAGGGATGCTGAGGGTCGGGGCACACAGCTGTGGGGACAGCATCTGACAGGTCAGGACTGGTAGGAAGGAGGGTGGGGAGAGTCCAGAAGCCTCAGGAAGAGGGGAAAGGGCAGGCCCTGTGGACAGTGCGCCCAGGAAGGAGCTGCTGGGGTTTTGAGGAGCAACTGGGCAGAGTCTGCCAGGCAGCAGGGCCTGGGCCCAGGATGCATGAGTGCCAAGCAGTGCCCAAGAAGGGTCCAGCCAGGTCAGGCCAAGAGCGCTAGCCCCGCTGTGCTAGCCCTCCACACACTGTGCTGGGAGCTGGGCCAGGGGAGTGGCGGGGGGGGGGGGGGGGGGGGGGGGGGGTGGAAGGGGGAGAGAGGGGAGGGGAGACGCCAGGGGTCCTTCCTTTTCCCTGGGGGAGGGAGGCGGGGCAAGAGAGAGGCGAAGGACCAGGTGGAGGGAGCCCTGTTCTCCCCCCAGGTCTCTGCTTTCCCGGGTGGAGAGGGCAAGGGGCTCCTCCACAGAGGTGGGAGTGCCAGGATGTCATGGACGTGTGTGCATGTGAGCATGGGCTCGTGTTGAGGGTGTAAGAGTGTGCAAGGGCAGGTGCACATGTGGGTGCACATAGGCACACATGGGGGCACCGTCCAGATATCTGGGGTTGGAGCCCTGCCAGCCAGCCAAAGCCTGCAGAGAAGTCACTCCACGGGCCGGGAGGGACGGCTGCAGAGCTCCCTGAGCCCCCACCCACCAGCCCTCCTGATCACATCACCTTCTGGCGCCCACTCCGCAGACCTCCTGGCTCTCGGCTCAAGCTACAGCGCCTCTGTTCTGACCCGCCTGGGGTCGCGGTGAGTGCGTGCTTGGGAGCCGGCCTCCAGCACTCTTCCCCCGACCTTGCTGGCAGGTCTGTGCCAGCCCCGCCCTGCTCTCCGGATGCGGGTCTCAACCCAGCAACTGTTGGTGCAACTAAAAAGGCGGAGTCCTCAGCGGCCGCCCAGCTCAGCCTACGGCAGGGAGGGGGCGCGGGAGGCTCGAGGACGCTGCTCTGGGGTGCGGAGAGGAGGGGAGCGGAAGGCAGGCTGCCTGAGAGTCCCGCATGGGCGGGGCTGGGGGGGGTGGGTGATCCACAGAGACAGTTAAAGGGCGGGGCGAGGGTTGGAAGCCGAGCCCTGGGTCACAGATGGGGGTAACGGGAGAGGCCCGACCTGGAGACAGAAGGATACGCGGGCCGCTGCAGGCCACGGCAGACGCTGGACACCCTCCTGCCACCCGACACGCCCCCGGAGGCCCTGGACCTCCTCAGGCGACTCCTGGTGTTCGCCCCGGACAAGCGGCTTAGCGCCGCCCAGGCTCTGCGGCACCCCTACGTGCAGAGGTAGCGGCGGGAGGGGCGGGGTCCCGCGGACCAGCCCCGTGCCGCGCCGGGGTTGGTGGTTGGGTGCCCCTCCTGCGCTGAGTCTGAGAGGCCCAGGAGCCTTGCTTGACCGCAGCGGGGGTCTCGCTTCTCCTGCCCCCTCCTCTCTGGCTTCTCGCAGGTTCCACTGCCCGGCCCGTGAGTGGACACTGGAGGCCGATGTGCGGCTCCCGGTGCAGGAAGGAGTCCAGCTCTCGGCCCCCGAATATCGCAACCTCCTCTATCAGGTGCTCTGGCCGGCGACCCCCATCATTCCCCATCCCCGCGCATCCTCGAGGCCTCCCCCTGCCTCAGCGACCCCCAATGACCCCCACGCCCAGCCGCGCCCCTCCCCTCCCGCAGATGATCCTGGATCGCAGGGGCAACAGCCAGGTCCCGAGAGAGGAGGGCCTGGGGGACGCCCCCCGGCCCCAGGCACCCCCGCCCAAACCCGGAGCCGTCCCCCGGCTGGCCTCGGACTCGCCCGCGCAGAACCCTGGACGCAGGCCTCGGAGTGGCCCCGGCTGCGAGCCCGCGCGCGGTGTGTGATCGCTGATGGCGCCACCCTGAGCCGACCCGGACCCTTGGGGTGGGACACCAGCCGCCTGCAGCCAGACTCCTGATCCGGGGGGATGACCTTCCGACCCCACAGAAGCCCTCGGCAGAGCCACGAGCCTTCCCAGGCAGAGCTCCGGGCCCCTGCTCCGGCCTCCGCCCCTAGGAGGTCCTGGGAGGGGGGAAAGGTCCCCCGGGGCGACGACGGCGTCCCCCTCGGCACCCTCGTGGGTAGGTCGTTGGGGGTGGGCGTGGGATGACCCCTCCAACTGTACCTTTCCGAGGGCTGAGGGCCGGCAGCACCCTGGTCCCTCAGTGACCCTGTGATGCGCCTCTTCCGAGATGAAGCCCGGCGTGAGGGGGGCGGCGCCCTCCCTGACCTCGCAGGCGGCTGCCCAGGTGGCCATCCAGGCCCTGATCCGGAGTGACCGCGACCCGGGCCGTGGGGTGCAGGCCACCGCCGCGCCACGGGTGAGCCCGGCCCCTTCGGCCCTCGCCTCCCTTCCCGTCAGCCCTTCCCCTCCGACCCGGGGCTCGCTCCCCGTTGGGTCCTCCCCTGCCCCTTCCTCCCCTGCGCCTGCGCCGCCCCTGACCGGCCGTCCGACCGCGTGCAGGTCCCCCACGGGCTTTCCCGCGAGCCCCGGCCCGGCCGGAGGATGTTCGGCGCCTCGGCCTCGCTGGGGGCCCAGGGGGCCGCTCGGGCCGCGCTCGGGGGCTACTCACAAGCCTATGGCACCGTCTGCCGCGCGGCGCTGGGCCGTCTGCCCCTGTTCCCTGGACCTCGCGCATGAGCCGCCCTCCCGCCCTCAAACCCCCCGCAGCTCAGCCGCGACCCGGATCGCCCCCTCCCTTTGCCTAGCCCCTTGTCCAGGCCTCCCGCGGGGTATGGGGGGATAGATGAGGTTCCCACCCAGCCCCAATCACTTCCGCCAATAAAGACTTGTCTGTTCCCTGCTTACCTGCCCACATTTCACCCTCAGCGAGGGACAACCACTGAGGCCACATTACCCATTTCCTGGAGCCCACCCCCTTCAGAAGACCCCATCCCATGTCTAGGACAGAGCCTATGAGAAGCTGCGTCATCACCTTCTGCTGTCACCCTGTAGCTCCTCTCTGCCCAGTGCCCAGTGTTTTCCCTCTAGAGGGGTGCTTTGGGGCCAGCTTCCTGTCCTTTGTCCACAAATGCCCTGGGGCCTGTCTGGTGCCAAGCACATCAGATCCCAGCCTGGGCCTGTTACAGGGGTCATGCTGTCCCCAGGGTAGTCCTGGCAGAGCAGACACCTGTGCACCCATTGCCTGGGTGCAAGCCACCACATGACCACATTTGTCACCCTGAACCAGAGAGGGAAAGGGGAAGAGATGAAAGGGCAGTGCCCCAGGGTACAGACCCTGACTGTAGTCATTGTCGGTGACACCAGCCAGTGCCCCACCAACACAGTGACTTGTTCCTGGTTTGGCCTGGGGGGAGGGTGGGGGACACCCTGGGGATGTCTTGTAGGGCTCAAGGCTACCTTCTCTGGTCACCACGAGGAAAAGGGCCTGGTGTGAGTCCAGTCCAGAGGTGTTGGGGGCTGAGGAGATCCAAAGGGCCTAGCAGGCAGCAAGCTGTGTCTCAGGGTTCCCTGAGTGCCCCGCACAGCACCTGACGCTGGACAGGGACCAGAGCACAGGCCAGCCACTTCCCAGCCGCGAGAGCTCGCAGCCTAAGGGGAGAGGCCTGTGCTGTGTTGAGGGCCTGGCTGCTGGGAGCTGAGGGAATGGTGGGGGGAGGGGGAGGTGTGGGCAAACAGAGCTGGGCAGAGGTGGACCCAGACCAGCCAGCTGCAAGAGAGATTCAGAAGGCCGATGGCAGAGAGGACAGGGGTTGGGAGGAGGCCAAGGAAAGGGGGGGCCAAGGATGAGGGCCACAGTTTGGGCTTGGAGATGAGCCAGCTGCTGAACAGGCAGCTTTCTTGAGTTTCAACAGCCTGAGGCAGAGCCCCAAGGTGATGGACAAGGGGGAGATGAGGCTGTGGGGATGACTGCCATTGCCCAGAAAGGAGCAGGTGGTGCACAAGGAAGCCCGGCCCTGTGCACAGAAGCAGGGCACTGGGAGGGGAGGGCTGGGAGGCCCGGACAACTGGGGAGTGGCCCCTTGGCCCCCAGGGCAGGGAAGGACTCAGGTGGACAGGAGCCCCAAGATGGGGCTAGGAAGTGTCTGCTGCGCTTGGTGATCAGGGGCCCCCAGGACAGTGCCTGTGGGCTGTGCCTACACAGACAGCTGGGCGGCCGGTGAGACAGGGGGCAGCCAGCTAAATATGGGTGTGAAGCGAGGCCTGCCATGGGAAGAGGCTGAGAGGTGGCAAGAGTTTGTGTTGGGCTAGAAAATACAGATATAGGTGTTGGCAGCACAGGTGGGGAGGGTGGTGGTGTCCAGAGAGAAATCTGAGATGATTGTCAGGCTAAAGTTTACAATATATAACTGGGGGATTATATATATTGGGAACGTGTTGGGATATTTTGTGCATCGTGTTTTATTGTTAACACCAAAGTGTGCAGAATCACATTTGAGGAGGTGTCTTACTCAGCACGATGTGGAGGATGCAGACAGGAGGCTCTGAGGACCCCAGCCCCTGGCCTCCCCATGAGGAGCACCCTCCACTTCCTGCAAGGGCTCTCCCTTAGCAACAGGCCTGCAAGGGTCTGCTCAGAACGGTGGTGATGCATCAGGTGGCGAGGAAACGAACTTGTCAGGAACCGCATCAAGGCCAAGAAACGCTCCGGCTCATCCAGCTGCCCAATGAGGTTTTCCACCTGAACAAAAGCCCCTGCTGTCACCCCTACTTGGGCAGTGGCTTTGGTAACCAGACCGTGAGCTGTCCCCCAGCCCCGCCACCCTCCCTTCTCAAAGCTGCTTGGAGTCAGAACTGCTGCCCTCGCTCAGTGACCTTGTTTCTTAAACCCTTTCCCAGTCCGAGCGACTAGAGTTTCTTATACTTAAAAAAACCCAAAAACTATTTAAAAAGAAAGAACAGAAACACTAATTTCACAATGATAGCACCTACATTGGGGGACTTTCTAAGCATTTGGTGACAAAATATGTCATTTCAAATCAAAGTTACTCTCGAGGTGAAAAACATACAAAAAGGGTAAGCGAGGACCTTGGGCAGATTTTGCGGGTTGGTGACAAAGGGAAGGACCCCGAACACAGTGGAGTTGGGTCTGCTGGGCACCTGCAGAGCAGGACCACTCCCACCTTGTGGGGTGCCAGGGCCCCTGAGCAGTGGGCTAGGGCTCAGGCGCCATGGCACCGTGTCCTGGGTCCTCATCTGTTCAAGTACAAGCGCTCCACATCAGCCCCTTCTGGGGCGTGGCTGGGGACAGTGGCTGTGAACATGTCTGTTGGGGTGAATATGTGTGTGTCTGGCGTGTGGGGACCCTTCGTAAGCCTGGGGCCAAACATCAACCATCCAGACCCGGTTTTATTGTGCTACAAACCCTGGGGCTCTCACTCCCCGCCAGGTGCTGGCTGCAGCCTTGCTGGAGGAGCGGCCAGGCCTGCTTCAGTTCTCCTGGAAGGGCAGCCCCTCACAGGTCTTCTCTGAACCCTCTCCCTCCCCACCAATGGCCCACCCTATTGTGCTTCCCAAGAGGGGCATCCTTTGGGTGTGGCTCCACCCCTCCCTCACAAGCTGCTTGCAAACAGCCCTGCCTCCCCACAGCAAAAGGATGGCCACCGAGAAAGGTGCCAGCAGGCAGGAGGGAGTCAGCGAGGAGGAGCCCAAGCAGGGTAGGAAGTGAGCCTCCAGCGACCTGAGACAAAGGTGGAGAGCATGGGCCCTGAGGAGGTGGGAGACCCAGAGAGGCCAGGGCTGCCAAGAGACAGCAAAGAGGCAGCAGGGCGAAGGAACAGCACAGCCAGGAGGCCAAGGGGAACCCTGAGATGCAGAAGCCCTGAGACACGAGGCCCCGAGAGAATGTGGGACTGAGGCGCAAGGAGATGGGGTCCTCCTGAAAGTTGGGGGACTCAAGCACAAGGAGATGGGCCTCCGAAAGGTGGGGGACTGAGGCACAAAGATAGGGCCCCCAAAAGATGGGGGGCTCAGGCACAAGGAGATGGGCCCTGAGGTGAATGAAGGCCCAAAGGGGACCTGAAGCCCAAAGAGATGGTGGAGGCAGAGGAGTAAGAAGAGAGAGGCAGCCGGCCCAGAGATGGAGGTGTTGAGAAGAGACGGAGTCAGGGGAGTAAGGCACAGACAGGGAGGCTGAGTGGCTGGAGCCCCCAGGGCAGAGTGGCTGAGGAGCATCCGCAGGGCATCCGCTGGGTGAGCCCAGGTAGAGCCGAGCTCTGGCTGTGCGCAGCCGGGTCCCTAACTGCTGTGGCATGAGGACCAGGTGCTCTGCGAGAGGGGTGGCAGTGACGCAGGCACCCCGACCTGGGCTGGTGGGCGAGGAGACTCACTTCTTGCTTTTGAACGTACCCAGGATCTTGGGCATAAACTTGCCCACCTTGCTGTCCCTGGTGTCCTCCTCTGCCGGGCCCTCCCCTGTCCCGAGGCCGCCGGCCTCCTCCTTTTTGCAAAAGACCTCGAAGCGGCTGTAGACGCGCTTCTCCTTGCGCATGCTCTCCATGCGGCGAAGCAGCCGGTCGCGCTCCTCTGCGCTGGCTGGCAGTGTGCGGCTCAGCCGGCCCTGTGTCCCCAGGCTGTCCGAGCGAAAGATGGCTGAACATTTGTCCTTGTCGGACATGTCAGGGGCCAGGCCCGCGGCAGCTGGTGGGCGGCCTGGCTCAGGGCCGCTGAGGGCGGGGGCTTGGCCGGGGGCGGGGACTCCACGGTGCTTCTGGCCGTGCGCGCTGATCTGCTCCAGAATGGCTTTCGTGTCGTCCCGCAGGTTGCTGCTGTACAAGGCATTGGCTGTGGCCGAGGCCACGCGGGCTCGCGGGCCCCGCTCCTCTCCTGTGGCAGCCTCCGTGCTGTCACCCCGGCCCAGCGAGGGCCGCCGGGGGCTCTCAGGCTGCCCGTTCTCCTGCGGTGCTGAGAAGCCGCCCTCACCCTCGGCGCGGCGCTCACCCTTGGGGCTCAGCAGCTGCCGGAGGCGCAGGGAGCCCTTTCGCAGGACCTCCATGGGGCCGCTGGTCGCCTCCTCCGCGGCCCCGGCCTTCGGAGACTCCCCGGAGAACGTAAGGGTAAGGCTGCCCCTGCGCTCTGGCGGCACCGGGCTGCTCCTGCGCTCCGGTACAGGAGGCACCGGGCTGCCCCTGCGCTCGGGGTAGGCCGAGGTGGGGCTCCCCTTCTGCTCAGTCAATCCTGCGGTTGGGCTGCCTCTGCGAGCAGGAAACCCAGGCGTGGGACTCCCCTTCCGCTCGGGGTAGGCTGAAGTGGGGCTCCCTTTTGGCTCAGAGTGGGGCACCTGGTGCACCCGGGGCCCCTCCGGCGGGGGGCTTTCGCGCCCTTGCGGAGAAGTGGAGCGGCCCTGGGCAGAGAGGATGCGGGAGGGCAGCCGGTCGGCGCCACTCCGGCCCAGCGTGTCGAGCAGCTGGGTGGCTGTGAGCGTGGCAGCTCCCGGCTGCCGCTCAGCCTCCTGGTGCAGCCGCTGTGCGAAGGAGTCGCGCAGATCAAGCAGGCAGCTCTCCAGGCTGCGGCGCTCGCCTCCCGCGCCGCCTGGTGCTGCCACCTCTTCTCGCCACGCCTGGGACACAACAGCCTTACTATGGCTGGCGACGGTGACTGCGGCTCCAGCGCCGCCAGGATCACGTGACGGGCTCTTGTATTTCTCCAGGAGCTCGGCCACCTTGGCGGAGGCGGAGGAGCGCACGGCCTCGCCGCCGGGGCCCACCATCTCGCTGACAGCCTGCTCCTTGTGCAGCACCTGCATCTTCTCGGTGGTGGCTGCCGCGGCCCCGCCCGTGCCCTCGGCCTGCGTCGCGCTGAAGATGAGAGAGGAGCGCAGCCGCGAGCTGCGCTGGATCAGCGGGGTCAGGCGCGAGCGGAAAGCGTCCTGCTTGGACAGGCCTGCCTCCTCCTGAGCCTCGCGCTCTGGGCCGTCGCCGCCACCGCTGCCGGAGCCGGGCACCGGGCCCTTGGCCGGGAAGGACGCGGGCAAGCGGAAGGCCGAAGGGAGCAAGTCCCCGCCGGCCCCCCGGCCCCCGGCCCCCAGCACGTCGTCTTCGTAGGCCTCGGCATCCATGGGCGCCGGCAGGCCCTCGTCGCCCGCGTCCTCGCCGTGGGAGCCGCTCAGGTAGGAGGCGAGGCGCCAGTGCCGCAGCCCAGCCCGCCCCTCGGGCCCGCCCCTGCGCTCCGGCTCCGCCTCGGGCGCGGTCTCTGGGCCCAGCCTCGCCGCCGCCTGGCACGGGAAGCGCTGGCCCAGGTTAGGGCGTGGGGCCCCGCCGGGGTCCAGGCCGCGGGGGCCGGGCCCGAAGGCGGAGTCCGAGCCGTGGCGCACCTCGCGCGAAGCGCTGGACGGCACGTAGTCCAGCCGCTGGTGTCCGTCCGCGCCGAGCTCGGGGAAGCGCGGCCCGGCGCCCAGCGCGAAGTCGTCGGGGTCCGCGAAGCCGGGGCGGCCGGCGCGCAGCTTCTCGAACAGGCCCTGCGGGCGCGCGGGCGCGAGCTGCGGATCCCACTGGTAATGCTGCTGGTAGAGCTGGTCGCGATGGAAGTGGCTGGTCTGGAAGCGGAAGTCGTCACCGTGGCTGAGGAACGTCTGTCGTGACACCTGCCGCGCGGCCGCGAAGTTCTCCACCGCGCCCATGCCGTCGGCGGCCGCGTAGCTGTGCCGCTTGAAGGCGTCCATCTCCAGGTGCCGCGCCTGGAAGAAGCCCCGCGGGCCCGCGAGCTCCCCGCCTGGCCCGGCCTCGGCGTCCAGCCGCCGCGACAGGGGCCGCAGCCCCGCGTGAGGCTCCAGGGCGCCCCCGGGCATCCGCGGCAGCTCCTCCCGGCGGAAGGCCGACAGGAAGTGGCGGTCGGGGTCGAGGAAGGAGGGGAAGCCCAGGCCCTCTTCCCGAGGCGGTGGAAACAGGAGGTGCGCTCGTTTGGGGAAGGAGAAAGGGGTCGGCATCCCAGCCACCTGGCCGCCCATGAGGGGCCCGCCCCCAGCGTATGGAGCCAGGGCGTAGGCGTCCATTCGGGCCAGCGCCCCGGCCGAGGGCACCAGCGGCTCCGACTGTGCGAAGAGGATGCGGAACTCCTCATCGAAGCTGGAGACCAGCTCGCCCTGGAACACGTGCGCCAGGCTGCGGTGGATCTTCTCGAAGGACCACATGAAGCTGCAGGGGGAGCAGGGCCAGAGTCAGAGGGAGGGGGCAGGGCTGAGCAGCAGCGCGGGGCGCAGAGCCGGGCCTGTGCTTGGCAGTGTCGAGTCAAGTCTGCAAGGGCTCAGAGGCTACAGGAGGAGGGCTTCTCGAGAGGAGGCCCTGGGGTGGGGAGGCGCTGGGGTTGCGGGACACCGGGGCTGGGCGCACCTGTAGCTCCCACTCATCACCACGGCACAGTCCACTAGGAGGAACTTCTCCTTCACGTGGCCCTGGAAAGACTTCCCGGTGCGGCAGTAGTAGGTGGGGCCTGCCACAGTGCGCACGCGCAGGAACTGGAGGGAGAAAAGCGTTAGGTCTCTGCCCAGCGGTGGTCTCCCCTTCCCTACACGCCCCCTCCCAAGCACTCACATCCACGTGGTGCAGGTTGACGCGGCACTTCTCGGCCATGTCTAGGAAGTGCTGCGCGTTCATCTCATCCAGGAGGATGTAGACCGGGACGCGGCGCGCGGCAGCCTCCAGCACCTCACTGAGCAGGTCCACATCGGTGAACATGTCCATCACCACGGCCACCACCTGCGGGGGTCGTGTCAGAGACGGAGGCAGACCCCTCCACTGTCCCCACCATTCCCTAGCCAAACCTCCACGGTCTTGGGAGGGCCTCTGGATCACCCACAAACACTGCAAAATAGCCACAGGTCTGCCTCAGGGGAGATTGGGGCCCTGTCAGGGAATGGGGGTCAGGAGGAAGGGGTCTGTCACCGGGGGTGTGGGGCTGCTGGCCCCAGGGTGTGGGTGGGAGGGGCCCACGACGGAGCCCAAGGCAGCACAGAGCCTACATCCTGTTGGGGGAGTACTGTCCTTCAGCTGGGGGCTAGAGGACCAAGCAAGTGAAGCCCCTGCCCTACCGATATCAGGGCAGGGATCAGGGCTGGGCCCCAGGCTCCAGTTCTGCCCCTGGGAGGGGGTTGCTGCTCCAGGGACAGAGGGCAGAGGCAGGGTCTTCAGTGTCTGGACCTGCAGCCTCAATCTCCATGGTTTAACAAGCTCCCTTTGATGTTTGCCAACTGCCTGGTGGAGGGTAAGAGGCCCTCGGCTGGGTCAAGGGCAGGATTAGAGAGAATTCTCTCTTAACAATAATCCAGGCCAGGAGGGGCCCAACCATCCCAGAGCCCGAGTTTCTGGGCACTGGCCATGACCACCGGTAAGCAAACCTGTGCCTGCAATAACCAAACTCTTGGTGACCCTGGAAGAAGTCTGTCCGAGCTCGAACAGCAGCCCGAAGGCCAGAGCAGCTGGCCGGCTAGCCCTGGCCTCACCCTCGCCCCCTAAGCTGGGCATGCTCATATTTCTCCTCCACCCTCACAGCCCTGCTCATGCTTCAAAGTCCAGCTCAGGCTGCCTCCCCACCGCCTGCGAGCCCCTGACAGGCACCTGCTGGGCAGAGCGGACCATCCTCCGAGCCTCATCCTTGATGCTGGGGCTGTCAGGTGGCGGTGGCTGCACCAGCGTGGTGACCTCAGTGCCCTGGAAGCCGAAAGTCAAGGGCCAGCCCAGGTCGAGCTCAGGCACTGCCTGGTCTGAGTTCACGGGCCAGTAGGTGCCCGAGGAGCCATCCATGTCCACATTGGGAGGGCTGCCTTCGGGGGGCTCGATGGCAACATGCTGTGGGGGCCGCAGGTGGCGGCTCACGTGCTCCAGCTCCTCAGGGCACAGGAAGGCAGGTGCCCCCTCGGATGCCAGGAAGCGGTTGTAGGCCTCAGGACCGCCCTCAGCTAGTGCATCAACCGCCAGGCGGTAGTACTCCTTGTAGTGAGGTGGCAGGTACCCGGGTGCCAGTGGGTTGTCCCCCTGCGAGGAGCTCTGGGAGCGGCGGGCCATGTTGGGGCCAGGGGCCTGGGGGAAGGGCAGGGAGACACATTACTGGGGCAGGGGCATGGGCTCATGTGTGCACACACACTGTAGAAGGGGTTGTCAGTGACCTGGGTGGGCTGCGGAGTTCAGCACGTGCCTGGAAGCCTTCCAGAGCACCCCAGATGCTAGGATGCCCCCAGCAGGAGGAAAGCAGCAGCATGCCCAGCACAGGTACTCCAGCCTTGTCTCTGGGTGCCCTGGCTGTGCTGGCGGGGCCCCTGCTCTCACCAGGACCCAGTGAGGGCCTTGTGTCCCCGCTTCTGGGGACGGTGGGTTCTGGCTCCACACAACCCCCACTCAGGTCACTTTATGGCCTCTGTGGCCCAGGTACAGCTGCTTTGTGGGCCCCTTCCTCCATAAAAACCTATCAGTAATGATGTTTTATGACTTCTGGCATAAAGAAAATATAATGCAGACTGGAATCTTTATTATTATATTCACTTTTCTTCTGATTTTATAACATGAACGCATTTTCGTGGGCCCCTGGCACTGTGCATCCTGGTCAGGCTGGGTGGTCCACTGCCTGTGTCTCCTCTGGTGCTGGGGGACCAGCTTGCCATGCCTCCCTGGCTTGTTTCCTCCACTGTAAAATGCAGCTGTCAAGGTTGCTGATACGCACCTGCCCAGGTGAGCTTACCTGGAGCTCGGCACTGCAGCATTAGGGCACCCCCCCCCCCCCCCCCAGCCCCTGGCCACACCAGCACCCAGCCCACAGGGTCTCACACTCTGAGCCCCATAACCATTCACTGACCTTGTAGCCATATGAACCCTGACCCCTGCCCTTTGTCCCTGTCCACCCCTCCACCTCTCTGGCCACTTTCCCATATTAGATAAAACTTCCTGGGCCTGGCCTGGTGGCATAGCGGTTGAGTTCACGCACTCTGCTTCAGCGGCCAAGAGTCCACAGGTTCGGATCCCGGGCACAGACCTACACACTGCTTGTCAAGCCACACTGCAGCAGCATCCCACATATAAGAAATAGAGGAAGATGGTCACAGATGTTAGCTCAGCAACGATCTTCCTCAAACAAAAAAGAGGAAGATTGGCAACAGATGTTAGCTCAGGGCCAGTCTTCCTCACACAAAAAAAACAAAAGACTCCCTCCCTGCGCGGCAACCCCTGGCACGGCCCTCCCAGCTGCTGTAGTTCACACCCTGTAGAGCTGGCGGCAGCCTCCCTCCTCCCCAGAGCTCGGAGTCCCGGCCCCGTCAAGCGCAGCCCCGTGAGGCAGCGGTGATCTTCCCAAGTCTCTGGTCACCGCCCTGTTCCTCGCTGCATTTGGATGAAGTCAGGGCCCTTTGCGGTGGCCCTCGGGCTCGTCCTGGGTTCCGAATGTACCTCTCCACCCTCACCACTCGCCCAGCTTCACACCGTCACCCACGCCCCACTGGCTCCACTCCAGCCCACCTCCCTCCCAAGGGCCTGCGTGGGGGCCTGGCCCCGGGAAAGCCGTCGCTAGCCAGGTGGGGGCCTCTATCTGGCTCCCAGGGCCCAGCTACACCCGATCCCTGAACCACCTGGATCCCTGCCCTCCTCCCCTGGAAGGAGAGCCCCAGGTACTGCTCACCCCACCCCTGCTGCTCCTTGGGGTGGGGACGGGGCGGGACTCTGGGCCTGCCCAGTGTGCAGGTTCCTGGATGTTGGTCCTGGCTGGGGAAAGTGGTTCTGCCAGACCACCCAGAGTGCACCCCCCCCAGGCGCAGCTGGGCGATGCCTACGGGATGGGGTCACTAGCGGCTGGAGGCATTGCCTGAGGACGTGGTGGGGGTCAGGACTCTGTCGTGTATGATGACCTGGGGAACCTTTCCTTTCTGCCTTCCTGGGGGGAGGGCCGGATTGGGGGGGTGACAGGCTAAGCGAACGTGATGTGGAGCTAGGGGGTGGGGGACCCATGTGTGCCATTCAGGAAACATGAGGCAGAGGTACTACCTGGTCTAACTGTCTGAAGAAAAACTCTTCTGACCTTCTCTTGTGGGGGCACTGTCTTCTGACTGCCTCCAGTTACACACAGAGTAGCCATATTGTCCTCACGGTACATGCACCAGATTGAAACTGACCACATGAGGGTATGAGGTGCGGGCTTATCTGTACTGGGGTCTCACACGGTATCTGACCACAGTGTGAGGTGTGTCACACCATATCTGACCACAGGGAAGGGTGTCTCACACCGTAGCTGACCTCAGAGTGGGGTGTCTCACACCGTATCTGACCACAGTGTGGGGTGTCTCACACCATATCTGACCCCAATGGCAAGTGTCTCTCACACTGTATCTGATGGGGCACTGTGGTATCTGGCTGTACGGGGTCAGTGTCTGACCACGCAGGGCGTGGAGGCACTACCCTGCTGACTGCATTTGATGGGGGTACCTCCCAAGTCAGGGCAGACACTCTAGAAGGGACAGTCCCCACCGACTTCACTGGGGAGGGAATCAACACTAACTGTCCAGGTGGCACGCGGTGGGGGATGGGGTGATCCCATAGTGGGCAAGAGGCTTTCTCATCAGACAGGATTGGTGAGGAAGGACACCAGTCCTGAGTGACCACCGAGGTGGCCCTGCTTGGCCTCACAAAGCAATACCCATGAGCTCAATGACCCTATCCTTTGCCTGTTTCCTCTCGCGGTCTGCACACCCCTGAACTGTGGACCAGGCAGGGGCCACTCCCCAGCCCACAATGGGGAAGCCGGACAGCGGGCCTCCCCACATTTACCTACCAACCGCCTGCCCTAAGGGAGGGAGGGGCGCTTATCCCACCCGGGCCAATGACTCAGCAGGAATCGGCTCCTCTGCCGCTGACCTCTGACCTCCGACAGGACAGACAAAGCCTCCAGGGCCCTCAGGGCTCTGGTGGGCTCCCTAACCAGGGACTTGCAGCCCACGGATCCTTCCCACTAGGCAGAAGGTGAGGTTTCTAAGTGACTGGAAAGAGGATCCTAAGGAAGGATCTGGGGCTACTGCACAGGGCGACGTGACCCTGACAAGTGCGACGAGGGCAGAGGGGGCTCCCCGCAGCAAGGACTGGAGCCGTTAGGCAGCGGGGAGGTGTCGGCGACTTGGGCGCAAGGGGCTCACGGACTGGAAGTCGGTGAGTTGTAGTTTTCGGGGGCGCATCGCAGGGCCTAAGGGGTTAGTGAACCCCAGAAAGTTAGCGGCCGCCTGGGCCGGGGTACCCATCCACCCACCCCAGTCCAGGCGTCTTGGGCGCGAGGGAACGGGCCTTCGGCTTCCCCGCAGAGAACCAGAGCGAGCGCCGGCCACCCCACCCACGGCGGCCTGGGCGGGGAGCCCCCAGGGAAGGGTCCCGGCCGGGCTCAGCACCTTCTTCAGTCTCCAAGTAGGCCGCGAGGGCGGGAGCGAGTCCGAAAGGCCCGGGCAGGCTCGCCCCGGACCCCTTCCCACCCAGCTCCTCCCGGACCGGCGTCGTGCGAGGGCGCTCGCGTCCACACCGGCCCCCGCGGTCCGGCCAGACACGGCCCCGCGCACGCGGCCGCGCTCGCACCCCCCCGCCCCGCCCCGGGTCCCGCAGCCCCGGCCCAGGTGCGGCGGGAGGGCCGCCCAGGGGAAGCCGCGCCGGGGGCGCCGGCGCCGACCCCGCCCCACCCGCCGGCCCGCGCGGCCTCCCCTCCGGCGCGCCCCGCCCCGCCCGAGCCGCGGGAGGGGGCCCTACCTGGCCAGGTGCGCGGGGTCTCGGGACAAGGGCAGCAGGAGCCGACCGCCGCCCAGCGGCCTCGCGGTCCGGTCGGTCCGGCGGCCACTCCCCGCCGCGGCCCGCCCGCCGCGGCCTGATTCACGCGCCCGCCCCCGCCCCGCCCGCCGCGCCCGCGCCCGCGCCGGCCTGCCCGGGCAGCACCTGGGGGCGGGGCGGCCCCACCCCGCCGCGCCCGCATTCCGCCGCGCCCGCGCCCCGCCGCCGCCGGCCGCGCGCCCCGACCCCGGCCCGCCGCCCCCGGGACCCCGCGGGCCCCGGCCCCCACGGCCCCGCGACCCCCGGCGCCCGGCGGTCCACCGAGGGCTCGAGGGCCCCGAGCCTGACCCCTGACCCTCGCCCCGGAAGTCGAGGTGACTCGGAAGTTCCGGCTCCGTCGCTAGGAAACGGGCCTGCCCGACGCGAGGGGCGGGGCTTCTGGCCTCGCCGGTGAGATGGGGGGCAGGTGAGGCAGGTGAGGCTGCCGGGGCGGCGCCGAGGCCCGGGCGGGGCCTCCGCCAGCACAGGGGACCCCCACGACCCCCGGACACCCCCACCCGACCCCCGCACAGAGGACCCCGCTCGCACACATGAGCACCTGGGACCCCACGGGCACACGGACCCCGCGGACACAGATCCCCGCAGCGACCACATACACACCGATGCCCACAAGCATAGGGGAGCCACGCACACAGGGGACCTGGCCACACCTGTGGACCCCACACACACACCAGTCCCCTCCCAGAACAACCCCCATCGCCTGAATCCCACCACATTGGACCCCATAGACACACCCACTCCCACATGTGTAGGGTACCTGCACATACAGGGTACTCTGCACACACCCACCCTGCATGGACAGGGGACTCCACAGGCACATGGGGACCCGCACACACAAGGGATGCCAGACACACTGACCCCACACACAACAGTGCCCACACATATAGAGGACCCTGCACACACCAACCCTCCGCCCACATAGATGGGACTCCATAGGCACACAGGGACCCCCACACACATGGAAGCCCCACACACATATGGGACCCTACATGCACACCAGGTCCCACACATGCTGATCACCCAGGCACACACCAGCATCACACATACAGGAGAGCCCGCATGCACACAGGGATCCCTCGAGCACTGACCCCACACACAAGCAGAGGACTCCACATTCACTGAACCCCCCCCCCCCCATACTGACTGCAAGCACAGGGACCCTCCCCCACAGGCTCCCGCACACACATGGGACCCTACACGAACACAGAGTCCTCTACACACTGAGGACCCCAAAAGTACCAACTCTCACATGAGAGGGGACCCAGCATGCACACCGAGCCACCCACACTGATGTGCTCCCTGCACACACACGTCGACCCCTCCCCCCACAGAAACCCTTCGCTGCCCCAGGTGCCTCCATGGCCTCAGTGTCCCCCCAAACACCTCAGATCACTGCTCAGAACCCCAGTTCCCCATCAGGCCCTCCCTCAGGGCCCCTCTCCCCACTTAGGCCCTGCCCTGTGCTCAACTGTCTGTCCAAGCTATGTCCCCCACCCCTGCTGCTCCCCTCAGTACTCCCTTCCCTGTCGCAATGCCTGAACCCTCTTTCTGCCCGTCTCCAGTCACCCTCCTTCTGCCCGTCTCCAGTCACCCTCCTTGTCCTTCTTGCCATGTGATCCTATTTTCTCGATTTTCAGGGTCACTTCCAGTTTCATTAGTTCCTTCCCCAAACACTCAGCAATACCCCACCGGTGCCCACATGGGAACATGGGTGTGGGGTCAGACCAGTGCCTGGGTAAGGGTGCTGCCATGCATTACCTGTGCAGTGGGGTGGGGGGAGGGGTGGGGACCCTGACCCAGCCTAGGCAGGGGAGGCCTCCCAGGGGAAATGAACTTTGGGATCAGCCACCTGGACCAGAGAGAGGGGTGTTGCTTCCGAGGCCAGGACAAGAGAGGGTTGGGGGCACGGAGGGGTTGATGCCTCGGGGGGGCTGGGGGTCGTGTGAGGCACAGAGGCTGCAGCATAGCAGGCTGGGCTCAGGTTTGTGCCCGAGGACAAAGCTTGTCCAGCTGGCTGCCCATGGTTTAGAGCAGGGAGGTGGGTACCTGACACCCGACCTTGGGGGTTGTGGTCAAGGCCTGGGACCAGAGGACGGAGGGGCGGAGGGGACAAGCTGTGGCCAGATGTTCTTGCTGAGCATTCTGGGCACACATGCCAATAACCAGGGGCGTGCAGGGGGCTAGGAATGTGGAGGGCAGCTGTGTGTGGGGGGTGCTCGTGATCCTGAGTTCCCCAGTTCGGCACCTGCCGACCCTCTGTCCACGCAGGCCCAAGGCAGTGTGCAGTGCTGTCCCCCGCTGCCTCTGCCACTCTGAGTGCACCCCCCCGACCTTTCCTCCCCTCCCCCCAGGAGAATGAGCAGTAAGAAGTGGAGGCCCAAAGCTGCAACAGGAAAGTGGCAGACGTCCCTCCCTGGAGCCAAGCCGAGAGCTGCGGCTGGTGAGTGAATGTGCCCCCGAGCTCCATGGTGCCCCGCTCCAACACTGACCTGTGAGACCCTTTTCACAGCCACTCAGGGACACTCCCTCTGAGAAGACCCTTCCCTTTGCCAGCGGCCTTCAGGGCATCTCTGGGTTGGGGATGGGTGTGTAGACTGAGGATTCAGAGACCAGACGTCCATTCCAGACCCTGACCCTGAGTCTTGTGCCTCCGGCCTGGGGTCAGGGCTGGGGGCAGTGTTCAGAGGAGCACAACTTTAGGACACATGGAGACAGGAAGAACCTGAGTGAACTGAGTACCGGTTCTGAGACAGAGCAGGGCTTAAAGCCACGTTGGGGATTCTCAGGTTAAGTATGTGGTCCATTCTGACCCTCTGTTCCACCTGGGCCATCCCAAGCTTCTCCCTGCCACTGCTCCTCCCTCAGGCCACCCTCTCCATAGTCACTTCCAGGCTGAATGGTGACAGCTTGCCCTCGGCCGAGTCCTGCTGTGGGTCAGGAAGGGCACCTCCTCCCATGCCCTCCTCCACCTGTTGTCACTCCTCTTCTCTGAGTCCCACTTCTTCTCTGTCATGGCGCTCATCCAAGTTCTCTGCTAAGCTGCCAACACCTTCCAGGCCGTGGCTCTGGGTCCCTCCAGCTCCCAGGCCTGCACTGGGGCTGCTTGCTAAGAGGGCAGTGCACCCTGTTCCCACATATGGCCCCTCTGCTTGCAGTGGGCCTGCCCCAGCCTCCAGACCTCCAAGGGCTCCCAGATCAGAGGATCTGGAGAGATGGTGGTGCCTGCTCTTCCATGCCAAGCCGGGGTCAGACCTGAGTTCCCCAAAATAGCCCCAGCCGCGTCTGAGGCGGCAGCTCTCCTGGAATGAGGATGATGGGCTCAGGTGCCGCGTGCTGCTTCCGCAGTCTCAAGCCCTGGGAACACACACTGCAGTAAACAGGGGGCGGGGCAGGTGGACCGGGACGCCGGCCAGGAAGCTGGCGGACTCTGTGTGTGGGGGGACTGTTCTTCAGTTCTGTACCTGCTGACTGTCCACCTAGGTCTTCGCCCCAGCCCTCATCCCGTACACCCCAAACACTGCCTGGACAGCTCCCGCAGCGGCCTGCCCTGGCCCACCTGGCCAGGATGCCTGGGTCCTCTACAGGAAAACCTCTGCCTCAGTTTCCCTGAACAAGCTCCCTCCTTGGGCACCCTCTACCTGCCAAGCATTGGGCCAGCCTGAGACGGCCGGCTGTCGCATGGTCTTTGCAGTGCCCTGTATGGTGGGCACCAGCCTCACTTTGCAAATGTGAAAATGGTCCCACAGATGTCCTGCAGCCAGCCTGGCCACAGCGCGCAGTCTGCCAGGCTTCTGGTCCTCTGCAGGTACCAGTAGGTTGCTCACATAGCCACCACAGCCCCACAGATTGTCCAGAGACTGCCCCCGTCCATGTCGCCCCGGGCTTACCTGGCCTTGGGTCTGCAGCACCTCAAGACCCTCGCTCCGGAGTTGCTCCAGGGCCATGGCCAGCTCCAGCCCCTCCACGCGCACCCAGGCCTGCTCCTCCTGCAGCTGCTGCAGCCACAGCTGCTCCTCTTGCCACAGCTGCTCCTGCCACAGCTGCTCCTCCTGCCACAGCTGCATCTGCAGCTGGACCTGCCGCCGCCGGTCCTCCAGCAGCAGCTGCTCCTGGGCCAGGCACAGCTGGACTTCATGGAGCCTCAGCAGTTCTGGGCCCAGGCCTGGCATGAGGTCCCCTGCACCGCAGCCTTCCATGTCCGAAGCGGGGACTAGCACCATCTCGGACCCCAGAGCGGCAGCCTGCACTGGCCTCTTGGCCGCCTGTGGCTGCTCTGGCCTTGTCACCTTGGGGTGTCCCTGGGGAGCTGGCTTGCTGCTGGTCACGTGCTCCGAAGGAGCCACCCCCACCTCATCCTGAAGGCCCCCTGCGGCGGGGGGCGGGGGCTCAGCCTCAGGGCCCTGCCGCCCCGTGGCCTGCTGTGCCCTGCCTGCCCTCCTGGCTCGGGGTTTTCGAGCTCGACTTCGCTTCCCAGACATGGCCCTGATCCGGCGCCTCTTTCACCAGGTGTCTGCTCCCCAGGGGCCCTGGCTCATCAGCTGGCTGGCCTCGGTCAGGCGGGCTCAGAGGGCATCCCTGGGAGGCCACAGTGGGCCCTCTGCTCCTGCGGCCCCCTCGTGCCTGCCCTGCCCCTTGGCTGGTGCCCGTGGCGCTGCCGCTCCGGGCCTCGGCTCTGCCTTTGGACCTCACGGGCCCCCCTCGGCGGGCCGGGCCAAGCCAGGAAGTTTATAGGGACTCGGCGGCGCGGTGGCTCACCCAGGCGCGAGGGCTGACTAACGTGCTGACACAGGGCGCGGGACTTTACGGCCACAGGCCTCGCTGGCCAGACTGGGAGGGAGACTGAGAGAAGCCGGAGGAGGTGCTCCGGCAGCCAGACTGCCGGCTGCGAGTAGCACGAGTCTGGTCCTGCCCTGGGCGGGCACTGGTGCCCCCACCCCCTTCCAACCCCGGCACCCCCGTCCCACCCTGGGCTCGGGGAACTCGAACTCCAGCCCACAGGGCCAGGAGCTGCATCCCCAGCCGCACGGACCATCCTGACAAGACTCACTGGTCACAGACGGTCCCAACCCAACTAACATGGGAGACCCCAGCCCCCCAGCTGGTGCGCTCAGAGGAGCCGCGCAGGGGCCGGAGCTTGCGTGGTGCTCTGTGGAGAGGGTGGACGCACTCGTCCCAGCCGCGTGGCCTCCTGCTGGGGCCAGGCTGCGCTTGGAGCTGGTGGGAGAGACTGGGCAAGGAAGTGGTCAGCCTGTCCTGGTTGGGGGGCCGGCTGCCCTGCCCACAGAAATGGAGGTGTGAGGAGCCCCGGCCGGGCCAGCCTTTGGGCTCTCAGGGATCCCTGGGAGGGGATGCTGCCGAGCCTGAGTGCCGGCGTCCCCTGGGCTTCCTGTTGGGAGGGAGGCTCCAGGGGGAGGGGGCTCCTCCCCAGCGTTTCCCCAGCCTGGGGCCGCTGACTCACACCCACGCCCAGGGCCCCGTCCCAGCCAGCTCTGCCACACTGGCCCGACTGGTTTGCCTGGCCCAGCCCTGCCAGCGCACCTCCTCCCGCTCAGCTCTTGCCCCACAGGCCACAGAGGGAGGTAGACAGCCGGTCACCACCTGGGCATCGCGGGTGGACACACAGAGAGGGAGACCGGCCGTGGCGAGGAAGGGGCGCCGGGTGAGGGCAGTGTTAGGGCTGGGGTCCGGCGGGCAGGCTGCGCTGCGACCAGAGCTTCAGGCGCCTGGGCTTCCCAGCGCGGAGCTCCGGAGCCGGCGCAGGGCGGTCCTGCCGCGACCGCTCACCGGCGCCCCCTGCGGCGCCCCGTGGGGAGGCTGCGTCCGCTGTAGAGGACCGGCCGGCCGACTGCTCGTTACAGCTTCCCCGCGGGGGCGCTCCCGAACAGCCGGGACGCAGAAGCCCCTCTGGTGGCCTGTGAACGCCTCCTGAGGCTGATGGGGGGTCCACGCCCCAACCGCGCTGAGTGCCCCCTGCCCCAGGGAAGGCAGGAGAGAGCCGCCTGCCGCAGAGGAGGACCGGCCAGCAGGCGAAGGGCGTGGATGCGCGTGTGCATGCACGAGAGCACGTGCGTGTGCGTGGCTGCGCGCGTGTGCTCGCGGAGCGGGCCTGCAGCACGCACGGAGCAGCGTGTCCTCCTGGGAGCGGGCGGAGCGAGCCGGCCCTCCCTGCTCGCAGCGCCCCCGCCCTGCATTTTCCCAGTGGACGGGGCGGCACCGTGCCCGCCTCCAGGGCCACGGCCTCTCCGGAGTCCCTCTCCCTCAGGCCTCTAGCTCGCCGCGGTAGTTGGGGGCCGCCCTCCTCCCGCCGGGTCCACCGTGTCTCCGCTCTGCATGCTGTCGCCCTCCTGTGGCAGGAACCAACCTCGGGACGGGCAGGCGGGGTTACCCCGCGGGCGTCCCGGGGACAGGAGGGCGTGTCATCGCCTCAGTGTCCCCCCGTGGCTCTTGGGCTCCTTCCTTGCCCTCTCAGGGTGCGCAGCCTCCATTGTGGTCTCGGCACTGGTCTCCAGAATTGTATCTTTACCCAAACCTTTCTCCTGCACCCCAAACCCATATTCAGCTGCAACCCAGCCCTCTTCTGGGGGTCCTCAAATTCAAGAGCGCCTAGAAATGGGAACCCCTCATCCCCTTCTCCTCCAGTGCCCTGACGACGCTGCGACTGCTCCCGCTCACCCTGAGCCCAAGTCCCACCCCCACATTCAGCTCTCTGCTTCTCTCTCTCCCCCTCCCTTCTGCCCTGGTCCCACGACTTCTTGCCTCCTGACTGTACCCACCTCTCACCTCCCATTTTGCTTCTAGTCTATTCTCCACGGAGCAGCAGTCTCGAGTCTCGCATGCACACTTTATCCTGCGTGGTGGTGCTGGCCTTACCCCCAGGAGATACTCCCACTACCACCTTTGTACCTGCGCCCCCCAAGGGCCAGGATAAGGAGCCCTGAGGACAGGGGTGGGTCACAGAAGGTTTGTAAAGTCTTGACTATCGATTTTATACAAGTCCTATATGCCCAATGTATTATCAGGGTTTTGGATTATGCACAATAAAAACAAATTTTATGCAATTTAAGCAGATGGAAAGTATTGGAAGGATATCCAGTAGCTGGAGATCTGCCTTGGAAAGCGGCAGAAATGAGAGAAAGCAGAGGACACAGGCAATGTCAGACCCAGAAAAAGCCTGGCTAGGATGTCCCTTCTGTCACTGGAGGTGCTCTCATTGTCAGGGAGCGGGGGGGGGGGGGGTGTCTGCCCCCCTTCTTCCCCCGTTGTGTGAAGTGGGCTCCCACGGAATTCTCCAGAGCAGCACCTGACCTTACCAGGTAGGAGTCCGGAGGCTTCAGCAGGCCAGTCCCGTCTTCTCTAAGGCCAGCTGCTCTGTGGGACGTGGACTAAGACGAGCTGGGCCCTGCTGCATCACCTCTTTCTGTATGAGGTGGGTCCCCAGCCCAGAGGCCAGGCCTGTGCACACGGGGTCCGCAGTTCTGTGCAGATGGCGGCACAGGCCAATGAGCAGGCATGAGCAGCCAACCCGGCAGGAACCTCGATTTCAGCCAGAATAAACAGTGTCCACTTCACAATGGAAGGTGTCAAATAGGACTGCTCTGCTCGGGGCTGGGCACCCGGAGGTTGAGGACGTGTACCACAGCCACTCTGTTCACAGGCCTGTGCATAAGCACTGAGTGGCTGAGGAGAGAGGCTGGCCAACGTCCATAGGGCAGTTGTGATGTCTACCTGGGTGTCCAATGCCTCCTC